TTTTCATTGGTCTCCATGGTTTAATGTCTTGGTATAGGTACATATTATTTGCAAAGTAAAATGGTATAATTGAATATCTACTTAATAAATTGTAAGATGTCTAGAATGACAGTAAAGAGAAAAAACCTTTTTAAAATATTCTGTTGTATAATAAAATAATGTCACACTTGTAAGAACACATTCATTTATTATGCATCCATTTTCAAAAGTGGCTTTCCTACTCCTTAAATATCTTGTAATAAATACATTTATTTAATGATATTTGGAAACAAAAGTGTCTCCAAATCATGATATTAATACATTTATTTATAAATGTACATACCTGTGATTCTTGATCAGAAGTGATGTCATGGTGTGAGTTCATATAACTTTCTTCCAGGTCAATTGCAATTAATTTGTGCCTTGTCCATTCATAGCCCATCTAAATTTAGTATATAGGTTGTGGTTTTGATGAAGAACCAAAAATAATGTAATGCCTCAGATTTAGGAATTCTACAATTAAAATATGAATGGCAAATTTGATTTATGAGACGTTAATGGAGTACTTCAGAACATGGCTACCTTCTGATATATTCTAAAGGAAATATAATTATTGTCATTACGAATGCAATGGAAGTCATTTGCATGTATTTTCGCTTAGTTTTTAATCACTCCATGAGACTGCTAAACATTCCTCTAGAGAGGAATTCAAAAGAAGGAGAAAACTAGGTCTGTTTTAAGCCAATTCTACATGGTATATCAAACTGTCTTTTTAACTTGCTTGCCCTTACTCAGTCACACATTACTGTTCTTTCATCTTGAGAAAGAGAGGGTGTGAGAGAATGCATTTGTTTTCACTTAGAATATATTAGCTTGAGCTAGTCAAAATAATACAATTTGGCTTATGAAGACCAGCAGTGGCCAAGAAATATGTTTATGTGCTGCATCATTGTGTTGTCCACCAAACTCTTGGTCATCAAAGTGACCTTAAATGTTTCACTCTCAGTTTCCAACTCTTTAGGACAGTTCTGCAAATGTGGTCAAATCACTAACTTTATCATCATACAGTCCCTTGTGTCTGCTCAAGAGCACACAAGATGGCATATAGACAAATGGTATTCATTTTTAATCATCAATGTTTGAAACCTATCAAAAATTAATAGTATCCCTCCTCTACAGTTATATGAATGTATATGAATTTTGGGAGGAATTTCTCAGTTTCTTTACCATTGTAGCCTCTGGATGGTCTGCTTCACTCTAATAGCTGACCTTACACCCAGAAATATATAGGTAACACAGTTGAAGTTGATGGGTTATCATTTTTAAAATATAATGAGAGAACAGAAAGTTCCAGGGGCAGGTATGCAAGGAGCTAAGGGGAGGAATTAAGATAAATGTGATCAAAGTATGTTGTGTAAAATTTGAAAAGAATTTAAAAATTTGAATAATAAAGCACTCAAAAAATTATGCAGTTTTTCCTTGTAATGCACTTCTATAAAATAGCTATTATTTCTACCATTATCCTTATTTATATAGGAGATAATGGAGAATAAATACAGGTAAAGTAATTTTGCAAGACACAGAGGGAAATATATGATGAAGAACCTGTGGGTAACCCTCAAATGTTCTTAGGAAAACTTTAAACTCCATTTTGAAAGTATTTATTTAGTACATAGACAGATGCTCAGCCAGGATATGTGTGTGTGTGTGTGTGTGTGTGTGTGTGTGTGTCCATAATGTATAAATACCTGGATAAATCATCATTATAAATAACTGTCTACTCAAATCAACATGTGCATTAAGGCATCATTTTATTAACACAATGTTTTTACTGTCTTTTTTCCAGCAAGATTTCCTAGCAAACACTGTCAAATATATAGACATTGTTCTTAATAATGTTTCCACTGGGTGAACAAATAACAAGCATAGCCTTTGCCACCTTGCTGAAATGCCTTCCGTTCTCTAATTCCTGTGTCCATGGATGTATGAGATTTACACTGATGGTCAGCACAAAGGAAGGGACAGAGAAGAGGAAGCTGGAAGGGTAGAAATGGTCCTCATTAGCTCACCTTAGTCCTTTATATGGGAAATTTGCTTTGAAGTTGTTTATCATTGTTAGATTACAGAACAGGCACTTGGCCTTGTTTTATGTACCCTAGCAGGTTTGTACAGTGGGAGAGTGCAATCTTTGGGCAAAATAGTAACTGTTGCTTACTCAGTCACATGCCAGATAGGTGACTTTAAACACACGATGTAATCTTTCGTAGTCTTAGTTTTCTTCTGCCATCATGTTAGGATACAAATAATTAATTCACAATCTAGGCAGTCAAAACTTAAAACAATGTCATTAAATACTCTTTCCCTAAAAGATAATTGTAGTTATTGATGTAAGAAATTATTTTTATTTTGAGTTCCCAGAGAAATAAAGGGCCACATTTAATACATTTATTATGTTGTAGTTGTTATCATTATCCCTGTGTTCTAGACAAGTGGTTCTCAAAGTTTTCACATTTCTCCCAAAATGCAGTTATCTGAGATGCTTACTACAGAGCAAAAGTAAGTCCCTCTGTCAAGCATCTTGATTTTTATGTTCATGAGATGATAAGCCCAGATTCATTGACTTTGAGGCTTTGGCTTTCAGTAAAAGGGATGGTGTCCATAGTGGTAATTACTATTTCCTAAACTCTGCCCATGAGAACTGATTGTGCCTTCTTGTTTTACAAATACTTCCTTTCATGGTTATGTATGACAAGTCTAACTTTAAGATACATTTCTAAGTACCCGGTTTGATTGCTTCTAGGAACTATAGCCATTTCTCTTATTGTTAATTGTTTTATTAGAGACTGAACTATCTCATAACTGAGATGGGTGCTTAAAAATCAGACAATAAATTAGATTGTATTTGAGATACCAGTCTGGACCATGAAATCCTAACATCAGGAATAGTGCAATCTTTAAAAGTTATCCTTGTCTTTTGAGAGAGACATGCCACTTGTTAGAATTGGGATGAGAATTTTAATGGGATATGGATACTTTGCTGAGAATTTGTTTATTGTGCCATTAACTTACCACTAGAATGTACATAAAATCTGGAAATTTTACTTTCAAATCTAAGTTTTATGTGGACCCAGGCACTCCCTTTAAAAAGATCACTATAACTTGTACTGATAAAATATAATTATTAAAACTCCAAAATTGTGTTTCAATATAGTTTAGGGTGTTTTAAAATAAACAAACATTTGTAAAAGTTCAACTTAATCCTATATTGTGAACCCAGCCATACTAATGCTTACTAGGTCCTGTATTTTAAAGCCAGTCTGCAATTATGAATGGATGGAACTTCAGATGTCCTTAAGTTTACCATCACCTGAATTGAACTGCAATCTGTTCAGAAAATGGAAAATATGCTACTCTCATCACAATATTTATTTTTTCTCACATGGGGAGATGACTCGGTGGGTAAAATTTGCTGCACAAGCCTGGAAACGTAAATTTCAATCCTTAGAACCTATGTAAAGGTAAATTTACCAGGGATGCCTGTACTCTCAGCACTCCTATGGAAGTGAGAAATCAGACACAGAAGATTCCCAAGATACTCATTGGATAGCTAATATGCCAGACGCAAGAGCAAACAAGAAAACATATCTCAGACAAGGTGGAAGGCAAGGACAATACCTGTGCTGGTCCTCTGACCCTCACATGTGTACCACGTGTATGTTTGCATTCACACAGAAACATGTATATATAAGTACACACAGAGATAATCTTTTAAAATGATAGCTTTTACTTTATTTATTTTTGATATTTAGAGATTTAACTCCTTTATTTTCAGGAGAGAGGTGGGTTATTGGTCTATTGATCATGATCTATGTGCAGTTAAGTATTAAGAGGCTTGTATTCTGGTTATCCATACAGCAATATTTAATAACATATTAAAGGCAAGGAACCTAAATAGTCTCTGATTTGTTTTGCTGATTTTGCAATTTAGAGACCAGTTTCCAGACATGTAACATTCTCCTATCCAGCAAAAAATATTTTTAAACACAGTATGTGGTATATCATCACATGCCATATGTAAAGACATGGTACATACTTTGGCTTGAGGGATATGTTTGGAGCAATGTTAGATGAATCTATTGGTTATTAATATACACTGGATTCTGTTGCACACATCTCTGAAAACACTGTTTACAGTCTGATATGTGTTATTCATTGAACTCTTGGTTTCTGTGCTCATTATGACAAGATTCAGGATTTGGAAGTATCACTGTAGCAGTATGTCCTTATTATACAGAATCCTTTCACCTGAGAATAGCCAATAATGAGCAACCTGTAGGTTCCACAAATTATTGTCAAATGAATGTTAACACTAAATTATTAAATGAATGTACTGTGCATTTTTAAGGAACATTATCCATTCAGATCTACTAGAAACTACTAGCACCAGTAGAATTTTTGAGGATTTAAAAAAATCTTCAGTGAGAAAAACAAATGTTTTGGGGAGATGTGGTACATGAATATTGAAAAACTACTCATTTCTTCATGATGACTTCTCTTTCTGACATGAAACCAAATATGTCACAATTCAACTATTCTATATTAGAAGAGGGATATTTAATGGCATGCAGCATTAAACTAACCACTTGAATACTTTATTTTTTCTCCTTTTATCATCCCTTAGTCATGATCTAGGGTCATGCAATAATGTGATCATGTGTCGTATATGGAGAAGTTTCATAGCCACATAGATTTACATCGAACCACTTCCTGCTTCTAAGTGGAGGGTTTCTCTCAAACTTTGACATCTGTGTGGGTCTGTGGGTCTAATGATACTTCCCTTAGATAAGGCTGTGTGAAGTTGAAGTGTTTCAGTAGACTCGAAAATGCTTAGATTGCTAGTTCTCATACCATACTATTATTGCAGGTTCTGATAAATACAGAAGCCATCTGCTACACAGGTGCTCAGAAACAGCTGTGGCTTTTTTTCTGTTTTGTGCACTCATGTGTGTTTCTTCTTACAGATGGATACACAACTGATGACATTGAGTTTTACTGGCGTGGTGATGATAATGCAGTCACGGGGGTCACGAAGATTGAGCTTCCTCAGTTCTCCATCGTAGATTATAAACTTATCACCAAGAAGGTGGTTTTCTCCACAGGTTTGTAGTAGAGGGGAAGAGTTCAAGCAAAAGAAACTTCAGCATATTTTTTCAGGATTCTTTTTCTTGGTTCCTAGAGTTTCACAATCAAAGGATTCAGGTCTATGAAACGTGTATTGGTTGGTATGGGGGTGGGGGTGTTTTGTTGGTTTGGGATTTTTGTACCCTAGTATATACTAACAGATATATTGTTAGATTCTATAAATCTTATTTAAAAGTGGTAATGAGTGATTTCTTTACCTTAGACTAGAGGTTCTCCACCTGACTAAGCTCCTCTCACATTGTGGTCTCTAGCCATAAAAATATTTTTATTACTTCTTCATAACTGTAATTTATATTTTTAGAACCACTGCTAGAGACAATAACACAAGCAATTAAATTGCTAAAGAAAGAAATGGATGTACACTGTGAAAACCCATGTAGACACCTAGGTGCGGACCATGAACTGAAGTTACATCCTGGAGTTTCTGAAGTTGTTTTTACTGCTATTAAAACCTACAGCCTTACTCTTATATTTGAAAAAATGCAGGTTAATTGTAGTAAGAAGGAGTTGAAACAGGGAATCAAGTAACTGCTCCAAATTACATTGTCTTCACAGTTGTAGAGGACGAATGTCTTTGATGTAGTTTCTGAGGCTGAACAGGAAGAACAAAGATTATTTAGTTACTGGTAAGAACAGGATATATTTCACACTTGGGACCTCCTGCTCATTAAAACACCCGGGATCTCAAACTGGATTTACAAGAAAACTATGTTCCTTGCCAGTAACTAAAACTACTTTTAAGGAAGAAGTACAAACTTTTTATGGACCTTACCCTATAAAGATTGATGGATAATGATGATGCTCTCAAATTGCCACTTTAGGTTCTTATCCCAGATTGTCCCTCAGCTTTAAGCTGAAGAGAAACATTGGCTACTTCATCCTGCAGACATACATGCCGTCCATTCTGATTACCATCCTCTCGTGGGTCTCCTTCTGGATCAACTATGATGCTTCCGCTGCACGAGTTGCATTAGGTAGGCCATTGGCAAACTATGAATTCCTCTCTCTTCCCCACTCCTTTTCTCCCTCTCCCCCTTCTCTGCATCTCCTCTGTCTTTCCCTTACCCTCCTGTGTGTGTGTGTGTGTGTGTGTGTGTGTGTGTGTGTGTGTGTGTGTGTGTGTTTGTGATGAACTTTCCTCACCCAGAATTTTTGGTCACACACAAATACTGGACTTTTTCCATTACAAGCTGTGAGACTTTGATGATTAACTGATTCAGCGTTAAATTGATTAAACACAAATTAAAGTTCTTCCATGTCAAAATTAAAGGTAGAGCTGTTGGTAATGAAATTGGTTACATCAGTTTGATACTCTTATCAAAACATATTTCATGTAATAATGCTTGCATAATTGCTCAATCTATCTCCACGCTTCTTCTTCTATGAAAAGTTTCCTTTATCCCCCACCCCAGGATGAAGATGAACTATATAACAAATGTATAAGCTAAAATAATTTTGAGAATTTATTCATGCTCCAAGGCAGCATGTAGAAGGCAGGAGACAAAAGAGTCAAAATACTGGGACATCCATTATAGTGTTGTTCATCATGTGCCTGGTTTTGTTTTTATGTCTTTACTCTAAATGGGAATAAATTACATTTCATAAACACTTTTATGAGACTCAAGTAAAGTAAATTGTATGACCTCTTGCCCAGATTTTACTATGTGCATTTCTGACTATTCCCTTTAAAATAAGGGATTGTTTGACTTCATCATAAGATCCTGATTCAGTCATTACACTCACAGAAAAACCATTCATTTTGCATCAAAAAACATTTGCTTAACATCTAACATGTGCTAACACAATGAGCTACTGAAAATGCATTTCTCCTTGTCTGAATGTTACATTCTAGCAAGAAAAGATGGATAAGAGTCCAGAGTCCTAACAGCAAGGACATGGAAGTAGCCTCCATGTCTACTAAGAAAAGAATGGATAATGAAGATGTGGTTCATATGCACAGGGATTTTTATTTCATTGTAAAAATAAAATCTGAAAAAAATATTAATCTGGAAATTATATTAAGTGATGTTATCAGAAAGAAAAAAATGTCATCTCTTTTTAACTTATGAAAACCATAATTTGTAATGTTTATATGTGTAAGAATGTGCACAAATAAATGAAGCTGGAAATGTAATCATGAAGGTACAAAAAGGGGTGTTGAGGAAAGGGAAGAGGGTGACAGAGTACACATGAAGTCAGAAAGTTGGGTACTAAAGTGGAAAGGTAACTTGGGAAACAAGGCTGGAGGAGAAGATGGAAAATGAGCAATACAAACAATGTTTGAAAATATAATGAACCTAAAACTTGGCATGCCAAGTTTTTAAAAAGATAGAAAACAAGAAATGAAGCGCTATAAAACATAACATCCAATGAGTTTGCAGAGAGAAATAAGCAACATTTTGTAGCTATGCCTTGGGAGTGTTACCATGATCAAGGCTGATCTCACCCAAGAGTTGTTTAAAGAGAAAAGATCTCAAGAAAATAAAGATTCAGAAAAAATATCTGAGTGGTGATAGTCCAAGCACCTGACAATAGCTCAGGGGTTGGAACAAATAGATGTATGGGTAGGACTCTGCAGAGGATAGCATGAAGAGATATCCAGAAAAGACAATAGGTGATGGGAGACTATGAGGTCATGAAGGGACTTAGAGGTTTGATTCAAAGCTTTACTTTTATTCCTAGTGAAGTAGAGACACTAAATAGGCAAATGATAAGATATAATTTCAGTTCTATGGGGGTAGTATTGAATGCGGTTAGCTTAGATTGAGATGGATCAAGTGTAAGGGTGGGAGGGAGGAGCAGCGACTGCCAGGAATAAATTAAGTCTCTGTCACATGTCTTCTTAAAGTAACGTAAACTTCCTGTGTAGACTAGCCACAGATAAAATTTCTATTTAGTTGTTTTGTGATGGTCTCCACTAAGCATTGAAAGAGTCACTGGAGTAAGGTCTATATGTAGTCATATCTCTGTGCTGTTTTATGCAAAGATTAGAAGCAATAAATCCTGCTTTCATAAATTAAATTCTAGTATCTGATGTAACAAAGAGAAGTGCCTAAAATATCTTCATATTTGAATCACTTATTATCAGGTACACAACTATTTTCAAATGATTAATATTAAAGTCAACAATGCCAGTTTGAGTAATGTATAACCTGTAGTAGAAATGACAAGGAGTGAAAGAAAATTGAAAGTGTTTCAAAACGGTTATTAAGAACATGTGAAATCTATAAGAAAACACCTTATCTAAAGCAAAACTGGAGTCAAGAATGATTTCCTGTAGCTACTCGTGAGATTCTACTAAAAACAAAATAAAGTTCGTTAAGGAAACAGAATCAATGAGAAAACTTCACCAGAGTAGTCTTTGGAAAATGAAATTAACATTTTGAGATGTGATTTAGGGTAGCTTGGAAGGTAAAGGTTCATGGCATTTGAGTTCAGATGGTGTCAGGACAATTTCCCACCTGTGTGACCACGGCCTCTGTGCCCTGTCTGTTTTCTCATCACTATTTTGCTACAAAGCTAGAGTGTATCATACAGAGAACTCTGAACTTCAGATTATTTTATTGTCCAGTGACAGCTTTGAGACTAACTGTTCTCCACTGTTAGTGATGCCAGAAAACGGGACAAGAGATTAGAGCCTGACCCAGAGTGACATTTCCAATAAGGACCTCTATAACATATCTGTGTCTCACATCTGTGTGTGATGTGTTCATCTGTCCAACTCAAAAGCATGGGCACTCTGGTTCCTGTTTTTTTTTTTTTTTTTTTTTTTTAACCCTCTGCTTTCAGTTTCTGAGTGTTTGCACTAATTTGTTTCTCATCTGTATGATGTATTCATAGGTCTCAGAACTGTTTCTGAAGTTGTACTTTCACTTTTAATTGTTTATGTAGGTCATTATGGAAACATTTTAACTGGTACTCTGTCCCTGCCTTATGCTGTGTTCCTCCATTCCTCACACTGCTACCAGGGTGACTTTCCTAAATTCAATATGTCCGTATTTGTGCTCCCCAGTCTGCCTCTGGCAAGCAATTGGTGCTCTCTTTCATTTAGCAGACCCTCATTTGACCTCCATTATTCTCTATGAAGATCTAGGAGGATCTTGAAATCTTGTTAAAGAGCTGTGAACATTCTCAAAACCAACCTTTGCATGAATTTTTCCCACTCATTATGTTCTGGAGTCTTGGGTAACCTTTCATCTCCAGTCTCCGGTTGCCTGGGAAATAGCCACTCATTCTTCAGAAATCACCCCTATAATCTACATTCTTGCCCTTGACATTTCAGGAACTAGGATCGTTTCTATATTAATTTTGCTCAAACATACATGTCTATCATAATATTTAATTCATATTTCTAACCCCAATGGCATAAATAACTACAAATAGAAAAATATTAAAGGAAATTTCCCATAACAATTCATATTCATTGTATGTTAATTTATGCATATTTCCAGGGAGGGACACTAGGCTGCTGTATGATAAATCTTCATCAAATATATCAGTATATATACACAAATAATACTTTCCAACTTTTGTAAGAACAGTAAGGAAACATGAATGTTATTACTCTAATTTTTCCACTTTACTTTTTTCCCAGGTATTACAACTGTCCTAACAATGACCACAATTAACACCCACCTCAGAGAGACTCTCCCTAAAATCCCTTACGTAAAAGCCATCGACATGTACCTAATGGGGTGCTTTGTCTTTGTCTTCATGGCCCTTCTGGAATATGCTTTGGTCAACTACATCTTCTTTGGGAGAGGACCTCAGCGTCAAAAGAAAGCGGCCGAGAAAGCTGCTAATGCCAACAATGAAAAGATGCGCCTGGATGTCAGCAAGGTACATTTATATGGAATATAGTTCTCATTGCTTATGCTCATAGAGCAATGCAATAGAGCTTGATAGACTTCCTAAGACAGGGCCCAGAGAAGGGAATGGAAATATCCTCCCAAATTTGCATAGATAATAAGTGCTTGGATGCCCTTTCTGTTAACAGTAGGGGTGCTCAAACTTCATTGACTGATAACTACACAAGCTATTTTCCATATATTAGAATCATGTTATAATTAATTTACATTTCTCTAAATTTACTTATTCGTTTAAATTTGTTTAAAAAAAAAACTTAATTTCATTTTACTCAATAGTACTTGCTGGTACCTGACCTTAAATATAAAATAAAACTGCATTATTAAACTGTTGTTCATACTAAATGAGAGCTATGGATCAGAGATCCACATTATCTTTGATTTAAAATAGAAATAAACAACTTTAGAAATGTGTTATTTACCTACCAACAACTTGAGATATTTTTCTCCTCCAAGTAATTTTTTTCAAGGGACACAGATTACTTAATACCTTGTCCAGAGCACTTCCCTGCATGAGCACCTCCCTCCCCCACACCTCCTCCCCCACACCTGACTTCATTAAGTCAAACAGGACCAAATACTGCACAAGTTTACACACTGTTTAATCTTGAAGACAGATTTTCATCTTAGTGGAATCTCCAGAAGAGAGTTTTGAAAGACTGAATCTTCTTTTTCTCCTAAGTCAGGGCATCATACATTTTACAGGTTCACTGGGTTATTCTAGCTTGCTATCCAGTTTAAGATAGCTGGGCGTTGATGGCACACACCTTTAATACCAGAACTGGGGAGGCAGAGGCAGGCAGATCTCTATGAGTTCAAGGCCAGCCTGGTCTACAGAGCTAGTTCCAGGACAGGCACCAAAGCAATACATAGAAACCCTGTTTCAAAAACAAACAAACAAACAAACAAACAAACAAACAAAAAACCCAACCAAACTAAAAACCCAAAAAAACAAAAACAAACAAACAAGAGGATCCTCTCTTCCAGGGTTTTAGTAGCAGTCTCAGTGGAGGGGTGTCTTTGATACTAATGTAACTTCACTTGCTTGCTATTGTAGTGCTTTCTTCCCTAAACAGAATAGTTATGAACACATTTCTTTATTTTCCATGTTTAAACTTTTTGAGATAAAATATTTTCATTTAACATTTGCCCTTGTGTTTTTGAAATAGTATATAATACAGGACTCATTAAATAGTTCATGCTGATATCCTGGAGAAGAAGAATGTGCTTAAACCACCTCTACTTATTAAACTTATTGACTATGATTAACTTGATCACAGACATCTTAAAGTCTTTGACTCAGTTTAATCCCAAGGAGAGAACAAAGTAAGCACTACCACTGGAATTTACTTGTAGCCCACTCCATGAAAGCTCCTGAGTCATCTTCCCAATTTTACCATAGGTCTGATACTTGTTTGTGGACTATTTTTTAATTAAAGACACTCCTTCCTCAAGATATTATTAGTATTGATAGATTTTGTATGTAATCTTTGAAAGCCAATAAGCAAGGAGTATAGGAACTGTATTGCTAGTGATTGGGTATTCCATAGCTGGAATCTTTAGGCTGGTAGACAGCAAACAGCCAGCATATTGCTTTGGCTTTCTCAATTTGACAGATAAGAGTACTGTTAAATCCTTTTCATGATTTATCAAATATTGTATCCTAAGTAAAGACAACGGAAAGAACACTAAATAAAACTGTCTCCTAGGAAATGAGTTTAAACAATTGCCTAATGCAAGACTGACTTAATAAGATAACATCTGATCCTTTTCACCTTCATCTACCTGGTCTTTTTATACCAATTTACATTTAAATGATAAATTTAAGATTGAAGCAGTGGAGATTTTAAATAAACGAAACCTAAAGGAGCCTTACAAACTTGTAAATTCAATTGTTTCCAGATGGAAGCAGAGAATAGCTCATGGGATAGGCACTTTGTAATAATGAAAAGTCAATCCTCCTGGCTGAGGGTGGGCACAGGGCAGACAAAAGAGAAATAAGAATGCCAAGGCAGCTCCTAGTACAGTGGTTCTCAAAATAGGGGATTTTCCCCCCAGAGAAGTTTGACAATGTCTAAAGACTTTTTTTTTTTTTTTCCAAGCAAGAAGAAGGCTGTTGCTACTGGTGTTTCATGTGTGGCAGCCAAGGGTGTCAGTAAACATCCCGTAGTACCTAGAATAGGTTCCCATGCTGAAGAATCATTTGGCCTAGCATACCCAACAGTGTTCTTTCCCCCTGCCCCCCAAATAATATTTGAGTTGGTTTCCTTAATCTTTGAACACATGGTTTGACCATTTTATTTGATCAGAACCTCAGTAAAGCTATCAAACACAATAATTCCACATCAAGTTTGGAAACAATCAGGTTTAATATTGGGCCATATGTGACAGTAGAAAGAGTCAACCTATCTGGCCTTCAATTGCTCATCTGTAAAGTAGGGTCAATTCCTTTGTTGTAATATTATGAAGAGATTATTTGAAGATTATTATGATAATGTGAAAAGAGAGTAAGAGTCCTCATCACCTAGTAGCCATTTATTAAGTAATATGTGTCAATATTTTAAGTACCACTGCTTTTATATGAAATAGGCCATCTACATACCAGTGGGTACTGACTCCTCTGATTTTCCATCACCAAAGTAGAGAACTACCTAAAAAGGAACTTATGTATGTCAGAAATTACAATTACAGTTAGGGGACCACCTTTTCAAAGGTTATTAGCTATAAAATTTATAGCAAACCTATTTTGTCAAATTCTGTCAGTCATTTCATAGGCAGCACATCATTTTGATTAGATTAAGACAAAAAGATGCCAATGTAGCATTTCAGATACTAACTTTCCTTTCAACCCAGCCTGAAAGGTCAGAGAGATCCATATTGAGTTCTGATTATGCAATCCTTTCTTTTGTGCTGGTATCATGCATAATGCCACTATTTCTTATCAGAAACGTCCCTTCTTTTCAAGCTTAATTCTAAGGTTATTTTCCCCAAGATTGAACACATAATCAGCTAAGTATTGTTATCTCCTCTGGCAAAGAAAAGAATCAGCTGCTAGGAGAGGGATTAGTTTTTTTCCCCCCTGCTTTGATGACTTCCTAGAAATGGAAAGACTGGGTGTGTTCAGCTGTGGTGATTTTTACACTGCACAGTACCAAGGTCATGGTAGGGTAAGACAGGGAAGGTCAAAAGGGATAGGTGGGGTTGGTCCTGTATTTTCTTTTCTTCTCTTTATCATTTGCTGTTATTATTATTTTAACTATATTTCAGCTTTTAAAGCACTTCCCATCCTGTCACTTAAGTAACTCAGAGACCAAAGCTAATAATGAAAATATACAATAGCTACATTGCATAGGAAAGTTAAGCAAGGCCTTTGTACCTGCTGTGGGTCTCCTGGACCATAATTAGTGTATGCTCCACAGCACTGATTTAAAAAGAAAAAAAAGAAAAAAAAAAGAAAAAAAATTACAACTCTCGTTCCACATTAGTCCCTCTGTGCAATCAGCTTACTTAATTCAAACCCCAGCAACCTGCACATAAAAATCCATAACTGGGTGTCTCTTTCACCTCTCCTTATATAACAATCTATATTGTAAACTACTAAGAATTTAAAATCAACTTCAAACCAGTGTCTCGTTCACATCTCCTTATGTAACAATCTATATTGTAAACTACTAAGATTTCAAAATCAACTTCAAACCAGCATGCGATCTACTGATATTTTCCCCGTGTGTCTTCTACAGTAATTCAAAACATATGATTCATCCCATAACCCCAAAATGAGAAAAATATGCAAAATCTATTTTGGTGTGAGCAAACCCTATCTGTGAGCCATTGCAGGTAGGTGTGTGTGTGTGTGTGTGTGTGTGTGTGTGTGTGTGTGTGTTTTCTGATAGAATTTACTTTTGGCTTGTTTGCTTTCATGGCTAAAGTTTACACACACACACACACACACACACACCTTTCCCTGCTTTATGTTTTGTGTGATTTCCTGAGTTCTTTTTCTGCTACTTGCTAAGTATTTGTATATTTGAGAATCTAGTCATTCTTGCTTTTTCAGCCTTGGTTACTGCACTTTTGAAATCCCTCCCAACTGCTTTTCGTATTGTTGAACTTACAGCCACTAGTTTTCTTCCAAAGAGGATCCCCATTTGATGTTCTTTATTTTACATTAGGGTGTTGTGACTCTGTATTGTCTTTATGACTTTGCTGGATCTTTTGTAATGCAAAGTAATTAAGACCTTTTCAGTGCACTCCTACTGCTTAGAATTTACTCTGAAAATTCTTTTGAAAACCAACTAATCAGCATTCTCCCATTCTCCATTAGTATTGGTCTTTGCCATCAGTCAACGTAATTAGCACATTCTCTACTTTGTCTTCCAGATCTTGTATAAAGATATTAAACAAAATGGGACCCAGTATCGATCCTTGTGGGACCCTACTGGAAACCTCTCCCCAACTAGACGGTGTACCAATTACGATTTCTCTCTGTATATGGTTAAATAGCCAGTTTTTAATCCATTTATTACTATGTCTTTTTGGAACAAATTTGTTTAGCTGTTCCCTTTAAAATAATGTTTGGTATCCATGAAGAAAATCCACAGTCACATGCCTATGTCTAAGAGAAATCTCCTCTGACAACTACTTGAGTCTTCAATATAATACAACTGTGTGGACATCAGATTTGATAAATTATTGCAATGCTAGAGAATAAAGTATGTAGGGTGCATTTGGACATGCCTGTTGTTTATATGGAGAGATTTCAGTATCATGATATAGCTTGGCTTTCCTTGGTTGTAGTGTTGGGTGTTTTGAACAGCTGAGAGAGTAAGCAGTTAAACTTCCCTTCTATTGCTGGGAATATTGGAATCCAGAACCATTAAGCTCTGCCCTAGATTATTTGTAAGCAAATTTTTTATATTTGCATCAAGTCCTTACTATATTGTTATTTTATAAATAAGCGTTATTTTGACAGGG